TTAAACTAATGAATATATATATATGTGTGTGTGTGTGTGTGTGTGTGTGTGTGTGTGTGTGTGTGTGTGTAATTATATATACATTCTCATCTACAATTTGTCGATGTAGCACCACATCTATTTCAGGAGACATGATTTTATCGGCAGTGTCGCAAAGTAGATATGACTTGTAGTTCCACGGCTCAATTATAGACGTTGGTGGCGGTAGTACAACGAGTTCGACTATGTCAAGAAAAAGGCCGGCGTGGCCTCTGGTTCCTCCCTGAATAAATAGAGAAGAATACGAGCTATGTCGGTAATTGCATCTACATGTTGTAATTAGAAACATTGGTGCTAAGTCCCGTGCAGAATGGAGGAAATATTAGGAACAGTAATAAATATTAAATTTTAGAAATAAGAATTCAAACTAAAAATTAAGCGCACAATGAATACTGTTTGAGATTGTAAATGCACGCATTAATTAATGCTTTACGTCGAGATTGAACAATCTTAGTGTCAAGATCGTATTATTAGATTTGGGCAGCGCAATCTTTACGCGCTTTGTAAGTCTCGCGCTATACTATCATATTTCGCGCTTTATGAATTCGAATTAGCGCGCGTTATCATGCGCATCAACGGTCTCATAACTATCAAGAGACACGGTAGTGTCTCGGGTGTCAAGTGAACCGAGAACACTGTCGTGTGACTTTATGCGAATCTGTCAGTATTACGCAAGAGTACGCGTGCTGGCACCGAATCGCGTCGGCTAATTCAAAGTGGAGAAACCAATTAGCGCTTGACTTCACGAGACCGATAAATAATAACAAACTATTATTTTAACAATTTTAATGGGACAATAAATTCTGGATTGTTCTTTTCACCATAACAACGAAAATTGTGTAAAAAAAAACCAACAATCTAGAATATTGTCCGTATAAAAGGAGTGGCAGTCCACCGGTACTGTTTGAGTTACACAGTGAGTTGATGTTCGTGTGGGCGTTACCCATACTCTAAAGTAGCTTGCTCGAAAAAAGGTATTTCATTTCGCTGGAAAATTATTCGAAGTTGCTTGCTTCACTTCGTTGTAGTCACCTCGTCGCTTGCGGTAGACAATCGTCACGATCGCCTCGCGCGTGCGATTTCTTGTGTTGCTGTGCTTTATTTACTTGTTAAATGCGGATAAAATAAAATAAGAGCCTTATACTTACTTGTGTATCCATTACGCAAGTATCCATTATTAATTCCAAATTTTCATTTTTAAAATTTAACATTTATTTCTCTTTCTAATATTTCTTCCATTGTGCTCAGGGCCTTAAAGATCTTCAAAAAGCTGGTATTTAAGTAGCAAGCAAGGTAATATTAAATAATGTTTTAATATCATTAAAACATTATTTGATATCATTTTGTTTCTTGAGCCTATCCAGACAAATTTGCGTTATATATATATATATATATATATATATACGCATAGCAAAATCGACCATTTGTGTGTTTAATACACAGGATGAATCAGAATGAATGAATGAATCAACTTTTGACTCTGAGATAAATTACCGACTGCACATCTAATCGATTTAATGGCACATAGATGTCAATTGCATGCGAACTGCTGAGCGGGAAGTACAAGCATGTCCAAAAGTAGATTATAATTATGTTGAACTGCGAAATTCTATTGTATTAGATGCATGACTAGTGTATTTCATTCTTCATTATAATATGAATTGCTATCAATTATTATTTCGTACAAGATTGATTTCTATGATGCCAATATGTCATTGTTTTTTTGAATATGTTAATTACTTAAACATGTTAATTCTGAAAGATAAGAAATAGATAAGATAAGAAACTTTTTTATTTTTTTAAATTAATTTTTTAAACTTATTGAACAATTTTTTGTTTGTAAACTCGACAATTTTTTTCATATTTGTTTAATTCAAAATTGTCTTAAGGTGCTTTTTCATGCCGACATTAAAATAAATCACGTGATTAAAAGTGACCATTCAAATCTATTTTGCATAAATTTTGATCAAGTGACCTATTTTGCTAAAAAATAAATGTCAACATGAAGAGGCACCTTTATCAGCAAATGTGAGCGTATCCAGCTTTTTGGTTATTATTAAAGAAAAGAATTTTTAGATTTTTTCCTCTATTTGTAATTTTATATTATATTTTCAACATTTCAGAAATATTTACACTTGCTGCGATATCTGAAGTAAAAATTTGCATTCGCTACCAACAATGTCTGAAATAATTATACGAAAAGCCAGACGTGAGGATTGTCAGGCTATCATAACGCTTATACAGGTACTTTTTTGAGGAAAAATGAAATTATGTAACAATATAAGAAATTATTTTTTGTAGGAATTGGCAGATTATGAGAAGATGCCTGATGGACCGCAAATTGATCACAAGAGTAAGACACATTGTATATTATGCCACAAATCTCTAAGATAATGTATATGTGCATGAAAGAACGAATGTTTAGCTTTAGAAAGAGATGGTTTCGGTGAACAACCATTATATTTCTGTAACGTGGCAACGAGCGATGAGAAGATCATAGGCTATGCTATTTTTTATTACGTTTATTCCACATGGTATGGAAAGTCTATGTATTTGGAGGATCTCTATGTGAAACCAGATTTTCGAAGAAAACATGTTGGCACGAAGCTTCTGAAAGCTGTCGCAAAAGTACGTTTAATTAAAATCATATGTGTGATGTATGTTTGATTATAAAACTTTTATAGGACGCAATTGAGAGCGATTGTAACAAAATGGACTTTGTTGTATTAAATTGGAACCCAGCGCAAGAGTTTTACAAGAGGCATGGTGCCTGTGATCTAACGGTCGAGGAACGGTGGCATTATTATCGCTTCAACGAAGCAAATTTAAAAAAGTTGATATCTGATTCATGAAAATGAAAATCAAAATGTATTAATTAATGATAATCACTTTATATACATACGTGTATATAACGTATCTAAACATATTTCAGACTTAATAAAAGTTTAATAAAGAATTTTGTTAACTTCTCAATCAATATTAAATAATATGATATATAAACATTTTCTTAATTTTTTAGATGACGTTCAATTCCGGAATGTATCACGCGTGAATGAATGATTTTTCTAATCAACTCTCTTTAAATTTGACTTGTCTCATTTAGGTTATAGAACATGTATGTATGTCATCCGTACGTCTCCAAATGCATAAATATTTTGCTTATTTATATTAAATTCTATATTCTTTTCAACACTTCCCCTTTTTCTCCGTCTGATTATTTTATTTTAAGAGCAATTGGTATATAAATTTAATGAAAATGGAAACAAAGGATCCACAAAAGACCCGTAAAACCACTACCTAAAGGTATCTTTTTATGCATTGCTCATTTCATTTCTCAAGCTTCAAAATAGGTCACGTGATCAAAAGTGACCATTCAAATTTCATTATTCTGCATCAACTTTTATCACGTGACCTATTTTGATGCAAAAGTGAGCGATGAGCGACGCATGAAAAGGTACTTTAACGGATTTGCACAGTGAATGATTACAACGGCTACCGAATTCCTAAAAGTGAAGTACAAACTTTCAGCTTCGTGTACTATCGAGTACTGGTGCACAGCTGAGCTTAGAGTAAACAAAGGCAATGATGCCACATGTATGATATATTGTTTTGCGTGATTTACTTATTATGTTCTCTTATAAATGTGTGTGAAAAATGTTTAACTCATGATTTTTTTATTTAACTGATGATTTTAATTCGTAGTTTTTATGCCAATGCAAAACAATTAGATAATGTACAAAATGTAAGGGCTTGCTTGTTTTTCATAAAATTATATTTATTTTATTATGATTATGTACATTACAGATATTAAATAAATTGCTAGTTATCACAAGTTATTATCGAAAAGTACCTCACAGAGAATTTTTCTATTGGTTAACCATAATATTCAACAGGTAGGTTTATTGTTATATTGATTGTGATATTTTACTTGTTTACACATAACTTTTAAAATAATAATTATTTTAAGGGTTGACTACGAAAGAATTCAGTCAGTTGGTCCAGATCGTGCCTGTGCTGAATGGCTTTTGAAAAATGGTGCCAGTGTCAGATGGAAAGGCTTTTCTGAACACTTGAAAGATTATAATAAATTACCACCAGAAGAAAATCGTTGTTACATTCAAGCAGTAGATGCTACAGATTCTGGTGTAACACACGTTGGATTTCCACATTTTGGTTAGTATTATATTGTATTGTGATAACTTGTAGTGTTATTTGATAACAAAAAAATCTAGCTTTATAACTAAATTATATATTTGCAGTCTTCTTAAAATAAAACAGAAATATTTGAATTTTGAAAGAAAGAAATAAAATTTTGTACAGTTCAGCACAGTGATAAGAAAAGATATTTCAGTAAAGAATCGTTGATAATAGCAATATATTTGAAACAATATAAATTGAAATTAGATATTCAAGATTTTTATTCAAAGATAATTAAATGTGTATTAGTTCAATAACATAAAGATAATTGCAAATTGTTTTTAATATAAAATTTAATTGCAAACATTTTTATGTATTGTATCGTTAAGCTATTGACGATATATAAATTACAAAAGATATCGATACTTACAAAAATTTAGTTGGTTGCAGGTACATTGATGAAATAAAACTAGTACGTTGTTTTTATTTATACAACAATGCCTTACCATTATTAGCAGCAGTAAAGGATACTCTGGTTACTCTTGAAATCAAGGATTGTAAGAGTATAACTGATGAGGGAGTGCGCAGTTTGAAAAACCTGAAGTAAGCATTTACTATATCTATTATTTTTTGTTCACCAAAATAAAAATTAAATAACTCAGTAATTGACTTTTATTTTTTTATTTTATAGAAATTTAAAGACTCTAAAACTGGGTGGCATGCCATATCTGGAGGATAAAGCTTCGCTTAAGAAAGAGCTTGCAAAAGCTTTACCAAATTGTTCAATTGAATTAAAATAAGTTGCATTAAAAGACATTGATATTAATAATACTTGTATGTAATAAATGTCTAAATTTTCCTATTGTTAATTTAATATATATTCATATATAAAATATTACTAAGACATGTACTTATAAAATAATATATAAAACAATCAAAACATTAGAAATTGTTTTTTGCTTTTAGGAATACCCTCTCATGGATATTTATTATTTTATTTCAGTTACATTACGTATCACTTTTTGAATTGACGATTCTCTTACATTTGCAACTGCATCTTCTCAAACTGCTATCCTCACTTTTCAAATTATTACCTTTAACAATGCCGCAAGAAATGAATATTTTATGTTGTTATTCTTGTAAAATGTATCAAGTAAGTTCTATATGGATATTCTTAAATAATGCTTCTTGTTTTATTTCTTTCTTTTTATTTCTATTTTTGTAGGTACATATAGTGAAAAAAGCACGCAAATGGAAGTGTAAGTTGTGTAATGCAAAACAATCTGTACAGCAGGTATTTATTTAAAGATAATGAAACAACATACTATAATTCTTAAATATCTTGATTACACATCATGTTTTAGATATATTTTCAAGGATCCGGTCAAGATTGTCGTCTTCATGTCCAACATTTGAATTATTTAAAGGCAAATAACACACCACTTTCTTTCTTTCCTGAGCAAAACGATAGCAGCAATACAACTATTACTGAAGAATCAAATATTAATGAAAGTGTAGAAAATTATTGGTCGAAATATCTGGATTTGCCAAAAAAGAAAGTCAGTCTGTTGAAGAGGATTTGTCTTCTAATGATACTTATGAAACCGAAGATATGATAACAAATGAAAAATCCTTGTGTAATCTCGTAAATAATGATTCAGATAACTTTGATAATATTGTAGATCGTAGTTTTGAAAAAGAAGATATTACTGATGAGACTGAGAAGTTAAGTTCTATGAATTTTAATTATAATCCTACTGTCGAAGATAAATGCAATTTGCAAGATAACAGTGAATCAAATGAAGTTGATAATAATGTTAACATTTTTGAAACTTACAGTGAATTAGATGAGCCTCTTGATATTTAATTTTCTTGAATAAGTGTTGAGATTTCCTAAATGAATAAGTCATATATTTCATATATTTTGTAAATGAATAAGAACAAACGCAAGAATTTATAATTTATTGTAATAAATTTATAAATTAATCATTTTTCTGAAAACTAACATTTTATTACAGAATTTAATACATAAAAATTCAAGAAAATATATGTCAAATTATTTTTTTCATAAATTTCAATATTCTACAAATTTTAATTAAATGAATAAATTATTCACCTATTTCATTGTCTATATACATACACATGTGTTTCTGTGGTAACTAAATAATATTTCTTAATGTTTTCTATATAAGGAAAATAATACCGCAGAGACAAAATATTTTTCTTCTAAATTCTAGACTTAAATACATTATTTCCTTTTGTTATATTTCTTTTTTGTTTGAAATGTGCGAATAATACTTTAGCATAATACAAACTTCTTTAGGAAAGATAGAGTGCTGGTAAAAGATTTAATATTGTTGCCACATAAAATTTTAAATTCTTATGCAGTCTCGCTATATGTATCTTATTAAACTAAATTCTTAAACAATTACAATATCAGCAAAGAAATTCGTGCAACATATAGCTAAAGTATAAATAATTTAAACAATTATGCGGCAATACAAAGACTGTATATGTCAAGAGATTTGTGCACGTACATGCATACATATATTTCCTTTTTTTTATTAGTTATTATTTATATTAATATATATAGCTCAGTACATCCCAGCATTCTATTTTTCCTTAACATATAAATTATTATTCTGCTATACTAAAACAGCTGTGTTAAAACAATATGGTGGCAAATATCTTACTAAAATTAAAAAAGTTAAAGTTCTAAACAAAAACTTTACGATTATAATATTTATAGTTTCGAATAATCTTAAAAATTTAATTTAGCTTAGATTATTCATTTTCACTTTAGAATTAATATCAAGAATACAAAGAATATCGATGCTTATAAACATTTTGGCAGTGCATTATATAAGAACATGTATGTATACTTTGTCATATAAAGATAGTAGGAGAGGCTAAATAAAATGGCAGCATTTGAGAAACATTTCTGATTGTTACATAATATACTTTGCAGAAAGATTACAACTGGGGAGAGTTATTCTTTTCGTAAGGGAAGATCAAGTTATTCTTTTCGTTGTGCGTTCAGTCTTCTATTACACAGCTGATTTCAGTAATATTCTGATAAATTTTTCTTGTAATAAGAAAATTTTCAGCAAAAATGTATATTACATTATATCGTTAACAGTAAGGAAATTAATATTATCGAATTAATTTATTATTTTTTTAAACAAATATAGTCATGACATTGACATTGTCAAAAATCTTAAAATGTAAATGTACAATTTGTTTACATAATATTTTAGTTTCTTCATTAAACATTTTTTTCCGATAAGCAAATAAATTATACTAAAAATCATCTACAAAGTAGAACAAAATCACCTAACTACGTCTTTAATTATATAGTTCTAATTATATAAAACTTATTTTATATTTATAGATGTGCTCCACACACAGTACACATGATTCTTATAGTTAATTCCGATAATAAAATTGTAAAATGTTGAAAACATGCACAATGTGAAGGATGAAGATTTAATTAAAATCAAGTTATTAATTTAAATATTAATTAATATAAGCTCGGTTTCTTCGTTATTTATTACTAAATAAATTAGATTACTAAATGCATTGCAAAATCAATATACCTAAGTCAATTTATCACGCGATTGTTGAAGCATAAAAAATGATCAGTATTGATGTCTAGAACTATGACGTCGGGAGTTTATTGTATCTTGATGATGTCGCCAACTGCTTTGCCAGCTTCTACTGCGTCTATTCCAACTAAAATAAAATAATATCATTGATAATATTATTGATATTTGATTAAACTGTTTCAAATATTATTTAAAGATATCTCTATATACTTTTGTAATTTCTTCCGTCTTTTATTAGGATTGCCGAGTTCGCTTTCTCGTATAATTTGTAACGCTGAAGGTACAAATATGTCTTCTGTTAAAACAATTTATAAAATTTTTAATGTTTAATGAACAATTGCATTTTAATGTGGAATAAATAAATTGTTTATAAAACGTACCAAACGCATCACTATATTTTCTTTTCGAAATATATCGTTGATGTTGCTGTAATTGTGGCATAGCTTCTCTAGCGTTGCCGACTGTACAATCCCATGTGCCTTTACATCCTTTCAAATGCTCCAATTGATCATGCAGATACGATCTTTCAGTGTCTGTCAAAGAGGATGCTCTATTCCATTGTTCAAATGGATCTAATAAAAAATGTCGTAGTATCAATTATTATGTGTTTAAGATTTTATTTTTCAAGATTTTTTTCATACGTACCAAGTCTTAAATTGTAATACGTTATTAATCCCGTGGTAAATTCGCAGTAAAGAAAATCGTGCGTTTTGTTGATTGTACGTATGCACGAATACGTGTTATTATTAGCATTCATGCAAAAGCAAAATGGTCCCGCATTCCACAGAGGTGCGGTACGCCAGTGATCGTTATCATGCTCGAAGCAATTCATTTTTTCAGTCAAGCATTCCTTTTCCAGCTTGGCTTTTTTTCTGAGTTTTCGCTCCTTTTTCTTTAAACGCTCCTCCTTCAATCTGCGTCTCTCTTCCCTAGCAATTTCTTTCTCATCTTTCTTTGCATCCGGTTCGCAATAACATTTATGTCGCGCTTCTAACGGAGTGTTTAGCATCGGTGGCAAACGACCATTATTACTAGCTGTGGTTATACCTACATTAAAAATCGTATGATAAAATATGCTTAATAATGGAAATTGAGACTAGTCAAGATTTACCTTGTTTATGTTTTCGATCAGGAGATTCAAGAATGGTAACGTCAATTCTCGCTGGTCCGAGAATTCCTGATGTTCTGTTCTTTTGTACTTTAGGATATCTTTTCATCGGTGTTGTTGTCGTTGGTACCGTAACGGATGTACTTTGAAGTCGCTCGGAACCTTTATCAATCACTGGGTTGGTTTTTGGAACCTCTGTCGTGCGTGTCATCATTGTTATAGTCATTCCCGATTCAGTAATCGGAATCGATTCCATAGTCCGATCTTCATTAAAGTCATTAGTTCTGGATATTCCTGGCTCTCTGGACTGGGTCGCTTGTCTCGTAGCACTCGTTTCTGTGATTGTTTCTTTGATAGCAGGATCAGTTGTAAATCTGTGTTGATTGTGTCTCTCATAAGTTACAGGACTTTGCGTAGATGTTATATCACCGATAACATGCGTTATGTTCACGTGAGTTATGCGCAGAACATCATCGTGTACGCTATTCGTAAGCAGCGTGTTGTTTTTACGATGGTGATGCGTTTTCCTGCGCCTTTGCGGCTTATCCTCTTCAATTTCCGTTCTGTTCGTAGAAGTCTCGTTAATCTTCTGTCGACGAGGTGGTTTCTTTTTCTTAACTGTTGTTAGATTCATCGTTGTCGACGTTTCGAGGATAGTTTCCATAGTAGAAGTTTCAATAGGAGTTGTGCTGTATTTATTGGTGTATTTATTGGTTTTCTCTTCCGTCGTCGATGTCTTTTCGTCGCTCGTAGCTGTATTAATCTTCGTAACAGACTCAGTAGTCGTGATAAGATCTGCAGTAGTATGAGCAATTTTATCGTGCTTTTTATGATGGCGGCTGACATGCCCCTTTGAAGGATGATGGTGAATTTTATGCGAATCGCGAGTTTCTTCTGCGTCAGCGAGTTTCTCCTCGTTATCCGGGAATTGGGGTCGTTTGATTATTAAATGTCGGCGAATCTCCTGCAAATATTTCGATGTTATCATAGAATTTAATTAAAAGCACTATATACTACATTGTACTATGTATTACATTGTATAATGCATTCATATATATTGACACAATTTACTTTCAACGTTTCCAATTGCACTCGCAAATTTCGGATTTGCTGCTCGATTTCCCGTCTGGATATTCGCCATTCATTAGGATCTTGATATATAGCTTGAGTACAATTGACATCCCCTTCTGGTGAAACCAAACATTTTGGCGATAATGATTTTCCTACTTCGGATGACAAGTGACGAACTTGAGTTTGCTATAGATGAAATGATAAGCTTTTTATAATGATCTAATGGTATACGTAAAATAATTTTATTAATTAACGCTTCGTCAAATGTTACCTTTAAATCGTCTAACTCTTCCTCTATGCTTTCCATAATTTCCGTGACGTGCTCTATAGTATCCTTCTTTGGGACACTTCTCCGTACCCTTTGATGCCTTTTTATTAAGTCGTCAATATTTAATCGACCTTTAACAATCTTATCTAAAGTTGGATCAAAATCATTTATCGAATAACCGTAATCTAAGTAGTTGACAATATATTTATTTAATTGGTCACTTTTTTCATCGTTAGTATCTTCAATTCTTGTCTTGTTGCCATTTCTAAAAGGTATTAGGTTACATATATTATATATATTTTATATATAAAAAACTTTTAAGAATTTTGCAATATTTAATAATTACTTTTATACCTTTTATGACTTTTTCTATATTCACTTTTCACCTCTCGCATCAGGATATCTATCTTCTGCATCAGGTCATCGTCGTCTTCTTCATCGATTGCGCGTCTGTCTCTTTCATCCAAATCGATTTCACTGTCAAATTCTTCATTATTTTCTTCGACTGACACGATATCATCCGATATGTCTCGCTTACCTATATCATATAATCTCGATTTTTTTAATTTAATTCATTTACTTCAATGCAAATTTGATTCATTTCATAATGATCACCTTAATAATTTAAAAAGATATTTAGAATGCTAAGATAAAAAAATCGATCTTAAATTTATCGCGTATAAATATCTTTATATATCTCTTATTGAGATCGCTATCTTTTTTTTTTACGCAAATATAAAATAATAATAATATTAAGGATTAATTTAATAATATTCACCTCGTCTTGCAAAGTATCCTGCCGTATTGTGATAAGGATCTATAGGCCGGTGATTTCTCACGTCGTAATCGTTGGACTCAAGCCTCGTGTAGATCACGCCGTTGGGGGTGAAACAAGCGCACTTCTTAGACACCCTTTGCGGCGGTGGCGGGGGTGCCGCGTACCTGCACTTGTGTCGTCGCCACCGGTGCCCGTCCCTCTCGCATCGCCACTTCTGCCCGGGAAGACAATCGGCCTGCGCTTCCGGTCGTGAGCACTCCGCCGCGAGACGTTCGTGCTTCGTCGCGAAAGGCGCGTGCATCGGATGCACCCTATTGTCGAGATGTGGATCTATACCTGGAATAAACAAATGCGTGAAATCTCATGCAACAAATTCTGTTTCGAATTAATTTTCTTCATCAGATTTTTCAATGTACATGAATCTGCGTTTATAAGATGTTTGTAAAACTCCGAGAAATGAAAACGAGAAGTGTGAGTCTCTTTAATAATTTCTTGAAATTTTCATTCAACATCTGTTTTTGTTAATTAAATAGATAGATAGATAGATAGATAGACAGAGATAGAAAATAATTAAATTAACAGATTATTTATACTAATATCTGTGGCTGTTATGATTTCAGTGAAAAAATTGAGAGGCTGTGGGTTGATCTGCAATATGAAAGCGGATGCGAAACGATTTATAGTATGTAAAACACAGATCCACAGCGAGATCTATATATGCAAACAGACATCTGTAAATCTAAACATAACGTGATGTGATGTTAGAGGAATGGCACTCAGCTTCCTCGAAGCTTGATGTCCGCGACGACAGGAAGAAATCGCCTGATGACGTTATTGAATTCGCGAGCGCAAGGAAAATAAATCAAAATCGAAAAAAGAAATTCAAATGGGATTAGAACTCGCTTCCTCGTGTGGAGCCCTTTAAAAAGAGTCATCCGAGCTCTCTTCACGTAAGATCTCACGTGAGATTTCTGCACGTGTATTTCGAGGAAACCGTCGTTACGCCAAGACGCGTCGCTCTTCCCGGCACTTCGGTTTATCGCCGAAAATACCCTCAAACAGACAAAGCACTCTCCCGATAATCTCAGGAGGAAGATAAAAGGAGGAGAGATGCGCCTCGTCTCGATCCCGAAGTACCAGGTATTTATGCTAATGCCACGCCAGGGAAAGAACTTGTTCTTCCGCGCGTAATACGCGACGCAGCACAGCATCTGGCGTAACGGTAGGTTTTATAATGCAACGTTGCTACGTGAACTAGAGGCATCTGCTCCTGTCGTCGAAACCAACGGATCTATCTATCCGGATTCTCGTGAGATCGATGTCGTGGACCTGTCACCTGTCCTAACATTTCCTCTACGTCCTATCCGTGAACTGAATTAACACAGCCATAGTTTTACCACATACAGTACTCCGTACTTTTACAATTTAATTTCTCTATTAATAAAGGTAGAGAAAGAAAGAAGATGATTTAATTTCTCTATTAAAAAAGGTAGAGAAAGAAAGAAGATGAAATAGTTAATCGATGATAATTTCGGTTCGGCTTTCATTAATAAATTTTGATATCGGGAATGTGATTCGCAATGTAATCTTCCACAATCCCAAATCGATTCGCAAATTCGCAATATAATCCGACAAATGTAATGGCCTCATGAATTAATTATCCAATTGATTATCCATCTGTTATTATCGGAATTCCGGAATTCATTTATTATTAGAATACATCTAATTTTCGTATATTGTGCGCTGAAGT